TTTATTAGTTTGGTTTGATTTATAAATTTAAAAATTCAACACAATGGTTTGGTTTGGTATTTGAAAAACCCGAAAAAAAATCCGAATTTTATTAGTTTGGTTTGATTTATAAATTTAAAAATTCAACACAATGGTTTGGTTTGGTATTTGAAAAACCCGAAAAAAAATCCGAATTTTATTAGTTTGGTTTGATTTATAAATTTAAAAATTCAACACAATGGTTTGGTTTGGTATTTGAAAAACCCGAAAAAAAATCCGAATTTTATTAGTTTGGTTTGATTTATAAATTTAAAAATTCAACACAATGGTTTGGTTTGGTATTTGAAAAACCCGAAAAAAAATCCGAATTTTATTAGTTTGGTTTGATTTATAAATTTAATTTTTTTACACAAATGGTTTGATTTGATATTTGAAAAACCCGAACCAACCCGGTCATGTACACCCCTAGTTTGTATCATGTTGTTTTGATTGTATTCTAGGAATAAAAGGAACTGCAAACCCTTTCCATATCATTTATAAGTCCACAAAATTGAAAAATATTTTAGAATATTTGACATCTGTTTAATTTAAAGCTATAAAATTCAAAAGTTTTTGTTTTTATTTTTATTTTCCTATTAAATATGTGCCAAATCAAAATCACGCTATAACATTTTAAAGGGATAAGGGTCTGAAAAATACCTCAACTTTGGCCGAATTTGTTGTTACGATACCAAACTTTTTCTTTCTGAAGTTTCGATGTAAAGAGTCCTCTACCAACGCATTTAACTCCATTTGTTAGAATAGCTTCCATTGAGTCTCTGCACCTATCCTTTTTATGAGGATCTATTACCCCCTAGACTATTTAATACTGTATTTTAAACATATATATGTGCCCATGTGGACATAAAAAATATTGCATAATTATAAATAGTAATGTGTCCACGTGTGCACATATATACTTTTAAAATACTCTATTAAATAGTTCAGGGGGTAAAAAATACGGTATTAAATAGTCTAGGGGGTAATAGGTTCTCATAAAAGTTTGGTATCGTAACAGCAAATTCGGCCAAAGTTGGAATATTTTTCAAACCCATTTCCCTATTTTAAAAGACTACAATATATAGTCCAAATGCTACCTTTCACCCTACAATTTTATTGTTTAGAAACAGTATTTTAACTTTATCCAAAGTTCGATTTATAAAGCATCAAAGTTGATAGTATCAATGCTTGCCTGATGCGACTCATATATTTTTTATTTTGTGACAACTTGACAAGTGTAATTACTAACAAATAATTCTTGATAAATTTTCATATTCATGTAATTTAAAATATCGACCGAATGTAATTTAATTTAACTTTGAAAATTAGTCAAATTAATTCTCGAATAGCACAATATGACGAATAAGTACTATATAAGACTTGGCATAAAACGTTAAATCTTCTAACCAACCCTTAATTATAAAATAAATCTAAGATAATAAGAGGAATAATTCAAAAACAAAGATGAGACAAATTATAGAATATCTCTTGCTATAGTTCTCACATAATAATTAATATGTCATAAAGTATATGTGCCCTATATATATGTGCTTTAACTTAAACCCAAAAATCCTCAATTCATACAAAATCACACCAAGAGCATTTTTCTTTAAACTAACATACAAAACTAATTAGTTAGACATGGAATTATTCTATGTCTCTCTTGTTTGCCTCTTTGTCCTTTTAGTCTCCCTCTCCTTCCTCTTTCTCTTCAACAATAAGAATAAATCCATCCTGTCTTGCCCTCTTCCCCCGGGAAAGTCCGGTTGGCCGGTTATCGGTGAAAGCCTCGAGTTTCTCTCTACTGGTTGGAAAGGTCATCCTGAAAAATTCATCTTCGATAGAATTTTTAAGTACTCTTCTAATATTTTCAAGACTCATCTTTTAGGTGAAAAAGCGATTGTTTTTTGTGGTGCATCTAGCAATAAGTTCTTGTTTTCGAATGAAAATAAACTAGTTCAAGCATGGTGGCCAAGTTCAGTAGACAAAGTCTTTCCATCTTCAACACAAACTTCTTCAAAAGAAGAAGCTATAAAAATGAGGAAAATGCTTCCCAATTTCCTCAAACCCGAAGCATTGCAACGTTACATTGGAATCATGGATCATATCGCGCAAAAACATTTTCAATCGTGGGAAAATCAAGAAGAAGTTCTTGTTTTCCCTCTAGCAAAACGTTATACTTTTTGGTTGGCTTGTAGATTATTTGTGAGTGTAGAAGATCCTAACCATGTTGCTAAACTTGCTGACCCTTTTGATGTTTTGGCTTCTGGATTGATTTCTATACCTATAAATTTACCAGGCACACCATTTAATCGTGCAATTAAGGCCTCGAATTTTATTAGAA